TTTGAGACAAAGATTGAGTCGAAGCGTTTCACCTTGTCTGTTGAGGAAGATTTGACCTAGGTGCCATTTATAATAGTGGGCACAGCCACTTTGCCTCTGTTCATAATTTGGTTGGTGATCTTCCAGAAATTGTGAGATCCAATTTGTTTCTTTTCAACCTTGGCCTGGACATCTTGTGCGTAGCTGCACTTGGCATTTTCCAGAACTCTCTTACATCAATTGCAGTTGGCTCTGAAAGAAATAAGGGTCAGACTATATTGCTCCTTGCGATAGATATTGTAGTAGTGCTTCCAGTGATTTATGGCTGCAGTGCATTCAGGGTAAACCAGGGCTGATTGTTTGGTTTTTGTTGGAATTTGGAGGTGGGGTATAAAACACTCCATTTGAGAAAGGATCCATTCGAAAATTAGGGCAGCATGTTTGAAAAAGGTTGGGAGAGGAGCTTCCATCATATAGGATTGAAAGTTGTCTGACTTTGCATAGAAAAATCCATTCTGTGGAATGGTAAATCAGGGGATGTTGTTGGCTTGGAATCAATACGGGCACTGACTAGGGAATGGTCTGCCATGCCTATGGGGACTAAAACTTTTGCTGAGCATTTGTCTGGGCAGGATGTTAGAAAAAGGATGAGGAGGTTTGCCTGCTGTCCCATTATATCTGGAACTCAGGTGGTTTCTTCAATGATCTGGTTTCGTTCATAGGTGATGGAGAAGTCTCTGGAATATATGCCTTCCTCATTGCTTTTGTTAGAATAGTCTAAAAACTCTTTTTGATGAATATTGAAGTCACCACATATGTGAAAGCTGGCCGAGAGAAATTTGGTGAGGATATTGCCAATCCTCTCTGATATTCAATAAAAAAATTACAGACCCTTCATCCTTAGGGTGATAGAGAGCAAAGATGACTGTGGCACTATGGATAAGTCCCACATGGAAGAACATATATGGGAGATCATTGTCCTCATTTTTGTGTCCCTGCCACAGGGAAACCTATCCTTGATGCAGGCACTGAGTCCAATTTAGGTGGTTGTATTTTGTTATAATGGGTGAGTAGCCCATGATTGAGGCATTGATATATGTTTCAGACAGAAACAGGAGATTAGGTTTTAAACTGGGAAGTTGGAATGTAGACCCCTTACATTGGTGTACAAGATGGTATACCTGAGATTTACATTATTTTATCTTATTTTTTTTAAATGCATGCATAAATAACCTGTATTTACTCGTCCAGAGATACTGCTGTAACAGTAACCATCATCATGGCTTTGAGAGGCCCCACTAGAAACCATTCACAAAATGACAGTACAATAGCCTCTATATTATACACCTGCTGATACACTTTTGAAGTTACTCAAAGATTCAGATCCCTGACTATCAGGTGGATAATGCCAAAACCCAGAAACCTTTTACCTTCAGTACCTTTAATGAAGGAACAATCAACCAAGGAAAGAAGATGCATACGTCATACTCCAAGTGTATGTGTTTTGTCAGGGCAACAAAACTCCTCCTTGAGCCAGAAACATTGTACCGGCGAGATACCTAGGTGACCAAGGCAAACTCACTCATATACATGAGGACTAAAAAATCCATTGGGAGAAGGTGGGGGTATATATACATATTTCTACTGCACTTAGACTTTAGAGAAATTCCATGTTCATTGAGAAAAATAATCCTACTTGGCAATATGTATGGGGTGTGATGGGTAAAATTTTTATATTTTTAATTTTGTGTATGGGAGTTGTTTTTGATATTGTTAACTACACAGTATAGTAGGCTCAGTTGGGCACCATCTGTGAGAAGTAGAGTACCATGATGAAACAATTCACCCCGCCAGAAATTTAGAAATGGCATTCTGTACTGCTTGGCATTTGCACTGGAAGAATATATCTGTTAAAATGAGATATCATTGTTATTTTCATTTTTGTGTAATTTGCACAATTTATCCATTGCACCCTGTACTCATAATTACATGTATCAATAGTTAATATATGAAAATAAAAATAATTACCTTCAAATAGACAGGTCACCACTTTTATTTTAACCACCCTGTCTACAAGAAGTTTTATTGGAGAAAATGAGCAAGTAAAAAGAAAGAAAAAAGAAAAGATCTCATGAAATTACTCTTTTGTTGCATGTGCTTGTTAGGAGTATTAAGTATTAAAAAATCTATGAGCAAAGTCTTCACTGTTGCATTTTTCTATTCAATATATTTGCATTTATTTATATTTAAAACTAACTATTGTTAGTTTTAAATGTAAACAAATGCAAATATATTGAATAGAAAAACCAAAAGTGGTAATCATCCCAAAACACTCTTAAAAGATTTTTATTCTTGAAAAAGAAAATTGATTTTTCATTTCTATAGATATATTAACAAATTCTTGAACTGTGCTAAATATTGGAAATATAATAATAATCATCATCATCATCATGTAATGAAAACTTAAATTACAAATGCTTGAACTTCAGAAGGGCTCCATAAATACTGTAATTCTATGTGCCATGTCACTTCAGAATTTAGGTGCTTATGGTTCTCTACAACTTCCTGTTCTTTGCAGCTGTCAGTAATGTTTGTTTTTTTGCTATCTTTTCTAATCTCTGTTTTGGCAACCATTTACACAAGCTTGTTTACTGTAATAGAAATTCTAAATATCTTTATTACTGTCTTTCTCTTATGAAACTGGTACACCAAAAAATGGTTTTTAATGTTATCATTGAAAACTAGCATTACTTCTATTTGTGTAATAGGAAAAAACTTTATATTGTTGCCTGATACTTTATTGTAGTTTATTATTGAAAACAATTCAAACTTACTATGCTGATTGGGCTATTCATTTTGCTAATTTTGAGCAGTAAAATTGATTTTTTTTAAATTTAAGCAGTGTTTTGCAAAAAAAAAAAAAATAATAGTATTTCACATTGTCTTTGCTTATAAGGAGATCACATGTTTTTTTTTTGTTTTTTTTTCTTTTAAATTTTTAAAGAAAATATAGACAAGATTCAGCTTTGTTCAAAGTTAAGGTTTTTATGGAGAATTGGTCTTTTTGGTTTTAGTATTTTTCTTTAAAAGTTACCATACTTTTATATGTAAAGATTATTGCTGGTGTGTGTTTTTGAATGCACTTTTCGTGAATTAAAATGAATTTTTATTGATGCATGTTTGTTTGAAACTCTTAAAATGTTAACATAGCAAATAATTTAGTCTAATAATTTTATGTTTGACATTTTAAAAAAAAAATGAGAAAATGTAATGTTTATATATATATACACACACACACACACACACACAAAAATAAAGTGCATTTCCTTGTTTTCTATACAATGTCTAAGTTCAGATTAGTTCATGAAACAATATAATTATTTAATGATCCAACTGACATCTAATTCATTATTTTGATATTACTCTTCTATTCTCTTAAATCAGTCACATATGATATCTACTACATATCATGTAGCTCTTATAAATAACAGAGGAACCACAATATCTTGTGCCATAATAATCCTTAAACATTGTGTTTACTGACAAATAATGATTTTATTTACAAGTAATAAATGAACTTGTGCAAGGTTAAAATATATGACAAGTCATCTGTAATTTATATAATTAGATAGAATGAGAAATCATTGAGAAATATTTGGTAATAATACAGTGACCTAGTGTCATTTACAATTGTCAAGATAAACAGTGTTTTCCTGTATTATTTTAACTGTTTATCTGTATATCTCTAATAAAACACGAACAGTGATGCCCATCCATCATTGTGCAGGCCAAGTTCCTTTGCTTTTCTCCTCTCTGCTATGCAGTCATTTGCATATGCTGTAAAATAGTATTGGTGAAATTGTAATTAAAGGTTTAAACATTTTAGTAATTATGGTACAATATTATAATCTTACTTATTATAAAACGCAGATTGTGTGTGTGTCTGTTCGTTTATATATGGGATCATATTTCCTACATTTTTCAACCGATTTCGACAAAACTTCACTATGTAAAATTACCCGGCAGTGGTTCTGACAGCACCAAAAATTGGAAAAACACAATTGTTTTTGTATGAAATCAATTTGAAAGCACGGTTAAGGGCCATTTATGCAGATTTTTCACAGTCTTTGGACGATGTTTTGTTACCGAGCCACCAAAACAAAGCAAATGGTCCAGTTTCTGATAGCATTAACGCTTGGCTATCTAACAAATACCAAATTGTTTGCAAGACTGTCAAAGCCACTTGACCAGGGAACCATAAACGGGGGTACCAAGGGACAGGATTTAGCCCTCTGAATACACATTCACTGGCACAGTATGTACAGTTTTGGTTTGATTCAAATGAAATTTACAACACACTTGCGGCTTACTATTGCCTTTATGCATGTCAAATTTCAGAATTTTTCGGCAAAAATGACCGTAGCTGCACGCGGATCAATCTTTTTTGTAGCTTCCTTACACACAGCTGCGTACAACCGAGTCCGCATGTCGATACAGACACTGCTGCAAGTCCATTGGTCGCTTTCACAGAGCTTGACCTTGGGGCCTGTCCAATCATCGCACAGGATTTCTCACACGTTATAGCGCCTACGTGATCTCACGTCAACTTATGTGTAAGTGCGCTCAAGGTCAACCACTTCTATTGCGTGACTCGGGCGTGCTTTCACACTTTTGCATTTATTGTTGCTCGCATGCACGCACTTGGCTTACTTTATTCGCCTACTTCGGACACCACAAGTTGTTGATTACGTGTTCTAGCTGCTCTTTTGTTTTATAGTTCCAACCCAACCCCACACACGTTCGCCGATTATACTAAAAAAAACCATTTCGTTTTGGATTTACGCTTGGTTTACCTTTTTAAATTTCCACTTTTTTAATTTCGAGTTCCCCTTTAGTAACATCTGAACTCATTTTACTGGGTGTTCCCCTTTTTGTGCCTACATTAGCAGCACGTTTTTTCATTTTGGATTTGTCGAAATCTCTTTTTAAGCTTTAGCCTCTTTGATGTTTTTACTGTTTGGATGCCACCTAAAAGGAGGAAACTTTTGGGATGGCACACGGCAGCTGTCTCCGCTGCTAGAGCAGCGAGGTCGAGTGAAATCCCTGAACAGTCTTCTTTGCGTCTTTCACGGATGGCCTTGAGCTCAGCTGCTCGCTTATCTACGGAAAGCGCCGCTGTGCAGACTGAAAGGTTGGCTTCAACGGCTTCAATCATGTTCGCATGCCGCGCCAGGCTTTCAGTTGAAGAACGTTCACTTCAGAATTCACAGGACGCAGTCCGCATGGCTAGGTTGAGGGCTTCACAGTCCCCTGCACAGAAAATCATTCGTCGTTTGCGGGATGCCACCGCCAAAGCTTGCTCCAGGGGTTTGGAAAGCCCTGAACAAACAACTTCATGTTATCTTAGGAATACTAGGGCTAGAGCCGCCTCTAGAGCTTCAGAAAAACCCCAAGAAACCGCTCGTTATCGCTTTAGAAATGCCCTATCCACCGCGTCTGCAAGAGCCTTAGAAATCTGCAAGAGCCTTAGAAAGCTCTGCACAGACCACTGTTCATTGCATTAGAAATGCCCACTCCACTGCATCTGCTAGAGCCCTAGAAAGCACTGCACAAACCACAGCTCGTCGCGTTAGAAATGCCCGCTCTACTGTGTCTGCCAGGGCTGCAGAAAACTCTTAAGTACGCCGTCAACGGCTCGAAAATATTAGCAAACTTCGAGCTTCTTTGAATGGCGTAACTTCGCCAAATGCCGCAGACAGCGAAGTTACGACTGCACTGTCAACTATTCTGCTAGGAGAGACGTACGAATAGGGGCCATGTATAAAGTTTGCACTTTTTACAACACAAAAAAGTGTGCTGGTGAGCAACCTGGTCTTTGTTGCTCTGGGGGCAAAATCAAACTCCCTTCTTTAGACGAACCTCCCGAGCCGCTTAGGGACCTCCTTCTGGGTACAACTTCGGAGTCAACGCATTTTCTTGAAGCAATACGGAAGTACAACTGCTGCTTCCAGATGACGGCTTTTGGTGCAAAGGCTATTAGTGAGGGGAGGTGGATGCCTACTTTCAAAGTGCAAGGCCAGGTTTACCACTTAATGGGATCACTTTTGGATTCCTACAAATTTACTTTCTCGCTGACTACAACAAGCAGGTTGATGTGCGTCTTGGCATTCTGCCTAGCGATTTTTCCGTCAGTCCCCGTAGAGACATTCTGTTCCGTCTACAAGACATGCTTCACAAAAATAACAGTTACATCTGAAGCTTAAAGTTTGCATTGTAAAACAACTCTTCACCCTCTTTCAGCTCCTGCATGTAATGAAGTCACTGCAGTCATCCATGGTGAGGAGCATAACAGCCGTGACCTTTTATAAGGTACCGGGGTGGTGGTCTGTGCCGCATTAGTGAAACCCACCGTTCATATGACTGTCTCCAGTACCCACTTCTTTTTCCATATCGAAGCGATGGGTACCACTTCAAAATCCCAATATACCAGGCAAGCAGCGATTCCATGTCAACCTCAAAGACGGTCTCCTGTAGGGCTTACTAGTCCTACATGTTTATGGTTAGGGAGGGTGAATTTAACCACTTGCACAGGTGCCGTCAACTATTTCTTCAATTCGCTGTTGACATGGCTGCAAAAATGGAGTCGGAGAGGTTAGGATTCATAAAGTTAAACCAATCCAAACTTGATGAGGCGCGATTTTTTTTTTGTCACATTCACGTGCAATCTGAAATGGGTTGAAATCACATGTGAACTTTTTCCAGGTCAGCAGTACTCTCACCGCCCTGACCTAATTGCCCGCATTTTCCGGTTACTGCTGTGTAAGCTTATGGATTTAATCCGTAAAGGGCAAGTCTTCGGACGCATTAAGTGTCATATGTATACAGTGGAATGGCAGAAACACGGTTTGCCTCATGCTCACATTCTGCTGTGGCTCAACGATAAGGTTGACGCAAACAAAATAAATGATTTTATTTCTGTTGAAATTCCGGATCCTGCGCTGGATCCTTTGCTCCACAAAATCATTAAAAACAATATGATACACAGCCCCTGTGGCGCAAATTACGAAAAAAGGTCATGTTTGTCAAGCAGCCCCACTTGTGCAAAGGGTTACCCCCATAAGTTTATCTCAGAAACACAGACTGCGACGGATGGTTACCCACTGTACAGACATAGAAGCCCTGCAGACAGTTAAGGGGCACAATCTGGACAATCGTTGGGTGGTACCTTATTGCCCGCTGACGTCCAAGACTTTTGGAGCCCACATAAATGTTGAATACTGCCACTCGGTTAAGTCAATAAAGTACATCTGCAAGTACATTAATAAAGGCAGCGATGCAGCCGTTTTTGGTATCTGGCGCCACAATTGCATTGACGAGGCGGCTGATTACGTGGCTGGATGCTACCTCAGCAATAGCGAGGCCTTTTGGCGAATTTTCGGATTCTTCATACACCAAAGTGCTCCAGCCATTGTGCAGCTTGCTGTTCACTTAGAAAATGAACAGAGGATGTACTTCACCGACCAAAACGCCCAGCAGGTTGCGGAAAACCCTAAAGACACAAACCTAACGGCTTTCGTTAAATTATGCTCAACAGATTCTTTTGCCAAAACATTGATATACCCCCAAGTCCCGTCCTACGACGTGTGATCAAACAACCGGTGGGTTCGGCGAAAGGCTGGCGACCCTGTCGAGGGTTATCTCGATGTAAGGTCTAATTCTTGCCTTGGACGCGTTTATACTGTACCCCCCCCCCAGCCAGCAGGAGTGCTTTTACCTCCGCCTTCTACTTCATGAAACTGCAGGGCCAACGAGTTTCAGATATTCGCACTGTTGACGGCATAGAGTGCCAGTCTTATAGAGAGGCATGCTTATGTTTGGGATTGCTTGAAGACTATTCCCAATGGGATGCAGCCATAGCAGAGGGTGAACTTCTCAGAACGCCATCACGGCTTTGAACGCTGTTCGCCATTTTGCTTTTGCAATGCGAACTAAGTGATCCTCTGTCGCTCTGGCTAGAGTACAGAGAATCCATGTCAGAGAATGTGCTGTTCTCCGTTCAGCATAACAGCCCAGGAGTTGAATGCGGTTTCAATGACTTCATATTCAACAGAGTGCTGGTGGCCCTAGAAGGTGTTGTTTTTGAACTGGGAGGTGCCTCTTTACCAACTTACGGTTTGCCACCACTGCTCAGAGACGGTTTTGACACTGTACTAACTGAGTTATTGCGGGAAACATCCTACTCCATCGAGGGGCTGAACGCATACATTACCGAAAACGAGTCCAAACTTCTACCTGATCAGAGGGTTGCTTGCACTACCATAACAGACAGGGTAAACGGTTCCAGTGGAGATATATACTTTTTAAATGCGCCTGGAGGAACTGGCAAAACTTTTGTTACTAAATTAGTCCTGGCAGAGGTACAGCGTCGTGGGGAGATCGCTATTGCGGTTGCATCTTCTAAACAGTGCAACGGGACTCGCCTCATTATTAAATCCCTTTCTCTGAACCTGATTGAGGCGACCATTGCAACTGGCTGCAGCAAGGGGGAAGTCATTCTGATTCCCAGGATGCATCTCTGCCATCAGACGCAAGCATACCAATCAACTTTCGTCGTTCACATGAAGCTTTGTAAAGGTTATCCAGCTCTTTTGCTGCCTTCTGACTTTCATACCTTCACCCGCCATCATCGCGTTTGTTTGTACACTATGACAACCTCACCGTATTCAGTTGCAACACAAGCTGCTAGACACATGAACACTGGCATTAGACAGGATTGCTCCACTAAAGTTCCGGTTTCATTAACAGTTGATCGGAGCACCTGCAGTTCGTACCACATTCACACTTGAGAAACTTTGGACTTTAATTGTCACAAAAGTCGAGTGCGTCTATGAAGTTCAGGCTTCTGCTTCCATATATACTTTATGGCTGCCATGGGTGAAACATGTCAGCCATACGGCTCTATTGTTTTGTTTGTAGTCATGCAAAAAAACCTAAAAATACACGCCAAGTACGGCGACCCCGGTTGGTTTTCATAAGCTCTCAGCCGTGATATTGACTGCGACTGAAGTTGATGGCACTTCTCCATTGCAATTACGATGATTGGCCTTACGGCTACCCATGTTGCGGTTTTAAGGGCTCTGAGCTGAGATGTAGATAGTGACAGATCAGAATAAAGGAAGTAATATCACAGAAATTTTCTTACCATAACACCCCGTCACTGTTCGCTCTTCTCTCGGTTTTACGGTTCTGCTTTGTGGTCGTGACAGCACTGTCTTTTGGGCATAAGATGCTTCTTTTAGTTAGACAAGCGGTTTGTTTGTGATGGTGCATGGCACGGCACATACTTTATGTCTATGGCTTCCTCACGGCACATTTTCCCTTCAATCCCTATGTATGTTGCAACTGAATCGTGGTTTCTTGACTACTAACCACAAGTGCTTCCAGTAATGATTAATGGTCCAATTGGTTAAAGCAGTAACTGCTGCCAGCTTTTACTCACAGATGTCTTAGTAATGGCAAATGACTGATGCTACAACGGCTTTTCGTTACTTCCTTCGATACCTTCGAATATTTGGGCCTGCATGATGTCTTCTTAAACTTTGTGTGCATTGAAACGTTTTGTAGAAACTTAGTTCCTGTCAACTTACAAAGCACATCTTTCAAAGCAACAGCCGTCCCTAACTCTTACTGTTACATCTCCGGGCAACGCCAGGCTCTACTGTTAGTTTTTAATATTTGTTAGATTTTCAAAACCTACTTTTTTAAAATTGTTTACTTATTTTACTACCAAGCTGTGACTGAAATGCAGAAAATGACTTTATTAGAATAAGAAAACAATTGTTTAAGCCAGAGTGAACATAATAGAAAAACATTTCTTTTCTTTTTTTTTTTTAATTTAATTTTTAAACCTGAATATGAAAATTAGTGGTTCTTGCTTAAAGGAGAAATCTAAATTGGGCAAAATATAAAACATGCTGGTAGATATGATAAAAATTGTATTCATTTAATATCATAGTTTAATGTAATATTTACATACACACACAACTTCATGTATTTAATTTTAATGGTTTTGGGCTATTTGTATTTTATTTCTTAGGTAATTTGAGATGGTCCAGTATAATGTTGAAATTTGTTAAAGTAAAAAAAAAACAAATACTGGCTGCATCACTTTAAGAATATAATCTCTGTAGAGATATTAGTAAAACTGAAACAGAAATACTTTGAGCAAAAAGGTAATTTTTTTTATCATATATATATATTTTTTTTTTTATCATATATATATATATATATATATATATATATATATATAATATTATTATTATTATTATTATTTGTGTATGTTATGTTTCCTGCTGTGTATCCTGTAGAGACAGGTTCAAACTATGGTCTTTAGGCCCTATAGGTGAATTGTCATTTAGTTGAGAGCACTTTTTTTAGTATATAGGATGTTCCTAGTAGGGTGATCTTCTGGGCAACTTGTATGTTGATATTACCTGGGACACTTAGTAAAATTGTCCATTACCTTTCTCACAAGGCCCAGAGATCTATTGATATAGTCTCAGTC